ATTGTGCCACTGCACTGCAGCCTGGCGACAGAGCATGACTCTGTTTCAAAAAACAAACAAAACAAAACAAAAAACCAAGCTGTGCCCCCATCACCTTGGGTGCATATTGTCAGGACCTCCTGTGGCTATGCCACAGGTGCATCCTTAACCTTGGCAAAATAAACTTTCTAAATTAATTGAGACCTGTCTCAGATACTTTTGGTTCACATTACTAAGCTGCCCTTAATTGAGAGATTATCCGGGAATGTACAGATAAGCCCAATGTAGTTATAAAGGTCCTTAAAGGTGGAAGAGAGAGGCAGAAGTGGAAATAAGAGTGATATGATACAATCAGGCCTGAACTAGACACTGTTGGCTTTGAAGATGGAGAAAAGGGGCCATGAGCCAAGGAAAGTGAACAGCCTCTAGCTGCTGCAAAAGGTAGGAAGATGGATTCTCCTCTGGAGCATCCAAAAGTAGATAAAACAGAGGATAAGCCACTAAGTTTGTGGTAATTTGTGACAGCAGCCAGAGAAAACTAGGAGACTAGTATCTTTTCTAGAGGCAAGAGTTTCTCTCTGAATCTTAGGACATAAGTGTTTCACAGTTGTTCTGGTGCACACGGTTCAAAGCCCAGTCAGAACAAGCTGTTCATAGAAGTAATCCAATCTCCTGAGAGCTAGACAAATAAACACAAGTTCCCCCTCGGAGGAAGCCTTTAGGCAGTGGTCTTATGGTTTGCAATAGAATTCTCCAAAATGAAAGCCAGAAGGCAGCACTCTACTGAAAACGATGTGGTTTTCCTTGGATATTTTTTTGTTTATAAAAATTTGTTCCACAGAAAACAAGAGTAACAATTGTGAGTTTCTTCAGTGCTAAGAAAGCAAGCATGGTGGCCAGGCAAGGTGGCTCACACCTGTAATCCCAGCACTTCGGGAGGCCGAGGAGGGTGGATCACCTGAGGTCAAGAGTTCAAGACCAGCCTGGGCAACATGGTGAAACCCTGTTTCTACTACAAATACAAAAACTACACGGGCATGATGGTGTGTGCCTGTAATCCCACTACTTGGGAGGCTGAGGCAGGAGAATTGCCTGAACCCAGAAGGTGGAGGTTGCAGTGAGCCAAGATCGTGCCACTGTACTCCAGCCTGGGCACTCCATCTCAGAAAAAAAGAGAAAAAGAAAGAAAGGAAGCATGGTTCCTAGGCTTACATCTTCAGTCGATGCCCTTCTCTGAATACACAGTAAATATGAGACAGTAAAGGAAAGACACTACCATTTCATAGATACTGGTTTTTATGTTTCTCTTTTTTGAGACAGGGTCTCACTCTGTTACCCAGGCTGGAGTGCAGTGACACGATCTTAGATCACTGCAACCTCTGCCTCCTGGGCTCAAGAGATGCTCCCACCTCAGCCTCCTAAGTAACTGGGACTAAAGGCGTGCATCATCATGCCTAGCTAATTTTTGTAATTTTTTGGTAGAGATGGGGTTTCGCCATGTTGCCCAGGTTGGTCTCAAACTTCCTGAGCTCAAGCAATCTGCCCACCTCAGCCTCCCAGGGTGCTGGGATTACAGGTGTGCACCACCATTCTTGGTCCATAGCTACTGGCTTTATTTTATGGATTCTCTTAATTCACTCAAGATAAGTGGGAAGAAAAACTTAGTCAATAAATTTAAAGGTTAAATGGGACACTGGTGCAGAGGAAGAGAAGAAATTACTATTGAATGGACGTCAATGTGCTAGCACTCTACTAGGTGTTTTCATATATATTATCTCATTTAATCCTCAAAAAAGCCCAACCCTCTAAAAAGGTATTATTATCCTATTTAATACATCAAAAAAAATAAGAAAGAAAAAAACTTAAATCTTAGAAAAGTTATGCAACTAATCCAAAATCATCAGCTAGATTTGAATCCAGGCCTGTTCAGCTCTTTCCCTTATGTCAGACTGGTCTCATTCTTTATCAGCTGATTAGAAATACAGTCATTGTGCAAGTAGAGATTCCCAGTAATTCTCAACAGAAACAGTGCCCCTAACATGCCCTTAACATGCCCTTTTTTTATTATTTCTCTTAGAGGTGGGATTTCACTCCATCACACAGGCTGGAGTGCAGTGGTGCGATCATAGCTCACCACAGCCTCAAATTCCTGGTCTCAAGCTATCCTCCCACCTCAGCCTCTCCAGTAGCTAGGCTATAAGCACCTACTAGAACCACCACACCCAGCTAATTTATTTATTTTTTATTTATTTATTTGAGGCAGAGTCTCACTCTGTTGCCAAGGCTGGAGTGCAGTGGTGTGATCTTGGCTCACCGCAACCTCCACCTCCCCTTCAAGTGATTCTCCCGTGTCAGCCTCCTGAGTAGCTGGGATTACAGGCATGCACCACCATGCCCAGCTAATTTTTTTGTATTTTTAGTAGAGATGGGGTTTCACTATGTTGGTTAGGCTGGTTTCAAACTCCTGACCTCAAATGATTTGCCCGCCTTGGTCTCCCAAAGGGCTAGGATTACAAGCGTGAGCCACTGTGCCTGGCCTTATTTTTTATTTTTTGTAGAGACAGGGTCTTACTATGTTGTCAGGGCTGGTCTGGAATTCCTGGGCTCAAGTGATCCTCCTGCCTCGGCCTCCAAAAGTGCTGGGATTATAGGTGGGAGCCACCATGATGGGCTGAAATGTCACTTTAACTAGGAGAAAGACCTCTGGCATTTACTGAGTAGGAGCTGCACAAGAGAAAACTGTCCCACCCCACATGCCAATACCTTTCCTATTGAGAATGGAGGATCTAGAAAGAGGGGTTCCTTGTAGGCACTCTGATAAGAATGCTGAGTAATTGGTGGTGAAAGTAGAAATGGAAGAGGGGTAAAGAGGGTACATGATTCGCTCACCTCTCATATCCAAGGATGGCATTATTCAAATCCTCGTTCACCTGAATTAGCTCAACAGTTACATCTTCATTCTCCACCACCACAAGCAGGTCCATGATCCTCTCCTGCATCTCCCGACCTGTTTTATAGAGTTTCTGTCAAAGAAAGGAGAGAGATTTCTTCTTCCACACCTGAAACATTCTATAAAGACATATGACTCACCAATCTGTGCATACCTACAGTCACCTCCACCCTTAAGTCGCCTGTGGGGCACTACCTAAGTACTTAACTATAAACAGCTTATCCTTCCTATTGGAAGGCAGTGAGTCATAAACTGATTATATTTTCCTTTAAAAATCAAAATAAGTGTCATAAGAATAATATGGTGCATTGAAAATAATGCTGGACTAAAATCCAGAAGTGCTGTATGGGAATTCTAAATGTAGTGCTTATTAGCTGTGCCATGTTGGGGAAGAAAAAAATAAATAAACACGTTTTTAAAATCTCAGTTTTCTCATTGATAAATGAAAATTATACCCCTTGCCACATCTACCTCAAGGGTTGACATAAAAATCAAATGAGATGTGTGTAATGAGGAACTCTATAACTATAAAGCATAAACATAAAATGTTATTGCATTATTAGTGGTAGTAGAAGTAGTGAAAATACATTTACAGTGGCATTATTTTATTTCCTGTTATGTTGTACTTAAACATTTAAAGTTTATAGTTATATCGCATTTTGAGGCAAACTAAAACAGGATTAACAAACAAATCATGAATACCCTTATTTGGACTACCTAGAAATACTGCATTAAACCATGACTCCACCTCCCAAACCCATTTTTTTTTTTTCCTCATAAGCATCACAGCCATCTATGTCAGACTTACTGATCCAGAATCTCCAGGCTGGGGGTCTGAAAATCTACATTTTTTTTTAAACAAGCACTCCAAAGTGTTTCTTATGTACACTGATATTTAAGAACTGTTGCCTTACAACTGACTTTTTTTCCAGGCACACCTTCGATTAACCCAAGGTGCATAAAACTGATATTAATATTTCCTCAATCCCACCTTGGCTAGAGTTTGTCTGTGTAATAGTACATTAACATCAGGCAAAAACACAGGGACGCTGCTTCTCTCAAAATGAAAGCAATAGAACTTCCTTAAACACCGCACAATCACTTTGGCTGACTTTTCCCCTCAAGAAAGAAAGATCTGCTGAAAAATGTATGTATGCTTCTTGAAACCATTCAGAATCTCAAACAATCTATTACAAGACTGCTGACAGGAAATCTCTAAACAAATAAATCAAACTATTACTAACTGGCGTTTAGACTCAGAGGTAAAAGCCACTACCCTCTACAAAATCATAACAACAAATATTTAAAAGACAACGTGACATAAAGAGAAAAAAAAAGGTGAGTTAGACAGATGATAGACTTTCCGATTTTAGACTTGCAATGTGCCGCCAGAAAAACCATCCCATTTGCCAACCACAGGGCCATCTTCAGGAACAGTATAGTGTAGGGGTCAACAGTGTTGTTCTTAAAGCTCCAGACAGTAAACATTTTCTGCTTTGTGGGCCATCTAGTCTTTGCTGCAACTACTCAACTCTGCCACTATAGTGTAAAAGCAACCCTGGAAAATATATCAATAACTGGGTGTGGCCATCTTCTAATAAAACAGATATATGTGGCAGGCTAGATTTGGCTCCTTTATATACCCCTAGTATAATGCGAAGAGAAAACTTTGGATTCAGATGCCAAACACATCTCCCATATATATGCCTGCTATGGAATTTGGGGAAATGTGGCTAAAATTTAGCCTTAGGTTTTGTTGTTGCTGTTTTGTTTTGTTTTTTGTTTTTTCCATCTATAATACAAGGAGAACAGCTATCTTGTAAGTTTGTTGTAAGAATTGGCAGTGGTGTCATTGAAACCCCAGTGTCTGGCATACAGAGGTAGTCGGTAGTAAATAAATGTATTATGGGTGCTTGACAAGGTGTCACTAGAAGTTTAACTAGATACCGAATACAATCCTGTAATACGCTATTATCCAGGATCCGATCTTCTACAAAGGAAATAATTAAGAATGGCATTTAATATAACCCCCAGAATGAATGAGAACTTTTCCTTTGTTCTTGCTTTACAGAGTGTACAGAAATTGTTCTTCTTGTTGCTCACTGGCAGCCTTGCTAGAGCAATGTCAAGATCAAGGGAATTCAATGGCTGATACCTATGACAAAAATGTAGAAATTAATTGAAATCAATTTGAAGCCAACATCAATAGCCCTCAGTCACATGAAGACACTCCCTTTGCCCTTTCAAGAGACAGATGGGATGGAAACATGAAAGGAATAGCACATCTCAACAGGTCTGCAAAGCAGAATGTGAAAAACCTCTTCAAAAGCCAGCCCACTCTGATCTTTGCAATTGATGTCTGTCTCAGAGGAGGGCCAAGCCACCTGGAAACACCCGAGATCAAGCTCTATGGACAAAAGGATAGGTCACAGTTGCCCAGAGCAGGTACTTGCAGGGCTGTGGATGTGGGGAGCCGCGGGGGGGGCAAGTCAAAATACAGAGCAACAGCTGATGGTGCATATGTCCCTCACGGAGACCCTGGAATTGTCTCCGTTTATACCATATAAAAGCAAAGGCAAGCTTCTAAGTTAAAGTGAATTTAACAATCAATTCAAAAGTCTTTGGAGCAAAACAAAAAGGAGCTCATTAAGAGATTCGTCTTCTGATATCCAGATGGCTCTTACTCCTCCATAGGGCACTCAGGAATTAAGGAAGGAGATCCCTCTGCACTTTCAATTCCAACTATAGTCATCCCACATTGACCAACAGAGGGCAACTCAATAAAAAGAAACACAAAAATGCTTGCATATCTATCTCGAAAGAGCTAAAACAGGAAGAAATGTGTTTGCTTTAAAATGTCTCTGGAAATACTATCTGTATGGCAATATCCCTATTATTAGCCCATAACGTATTTTCTTCATCCCAGTATTCCCCACTCAGAGTGCAAGAAACCCCAATGTCTCTATCTGCTCAAAGTAAATACTCTCCCCGCTTACTCTAAAACTGAACATTCTTCAGCTTAACTTGCTTATATAGTCTCTTTTTCCTTATACAGGCTTCAGTCAAATGACAAATTGTCAGCATAATCCTTAAGAAAAGCATTAACATGTTAAAGCCCTTCCAACTCTTCTTTCCAACAAAACAGTGTCTGCAAAAAGTACAGGACTTGGTTGCTGCCTTCAAATTGCTTCCTATACCCACATGAAAACACAATAGGTTAGCCAGGTATAATAGAAAGTTAGTCCTGGGTTCAAAATGAGAAGCTAGTTGGTCTAATGGATAGAACATAAGCTCATGAGAATGAAGTTCTCCTTCCGGCTCCACCACTTGTCATGGTGTGGGCAATTATTCTTTCTGCATATGCAGCCTCATCTGCAAAGGAAGGGAGATGGACTCAAAGAGGCTGACAGTCCCTTCTACTCTTAATAATCTTACACATTTCTGAATGGTAAAGACAAGAATGGTCTGGGAGGATGGCTTTCTTTTTCCTATTCTCAGGATTTTTTTTTTTTTTTCAACTGGTTACAACCCTCATAGGATCCAATTTCAGATTCCCTTGATTTTAAATTTCTCCAGTAAGTTAGAGTAAGGCTTTCTCTAGTTGTCATTTCAAAATCTGAGCTCCCTTTATTCTAAATACTAGAGCATTCTCTTCTTGTCTTACTGAGGCTAGGCAAAAAAAAAAAAAAAAAAAAGAGAGAGATAAGATTAAAGTGGGAGGTACCAGGAAAAGTCAGCTATTAAGATAAGAAGAAGGTGGCCCAAAGCTGAGTGCATAACACCAAGAAAGCAAATACACAAAACACATGTTGCAACTCTTCATTCCTACGGCCAAGGTGGCTGCCTTTAACTCGTCACAACAGTTGTTAGACCGCACAGAGCCTCAGAATTATCACGTTCCACTTCGGTAAACTAAAGAAAATCCAGTCCTCACCCCTAATGAAAAGTTTAAAGTTTACAAGCAACACAGTGGTGGGAAAACGTGTCTACTGCACAAAATGGTTTTATGGCCTGAGAATCTAACAAAGAGCAAGACCCTCTTAGTTAGTAGGGCTTCAGGATCTAATTGTTCAGCGTGGGTTGGTGGAACAGAAAGGGGATTCCAAGTAAATATATTGGATTTCACATGAAAGAAAACAAGACAAGGAATAGGTTCCAAAGAAACAGAACAGCTACTAGAAGGTAAGTATAAACAGACAAAACAGGAAGAAATTCCAAGTGTACAGGTTGGTTTATTTATTTTTTTGAGAGTGAGTCTCGATCTGTCACCCAGGCTGGAGTGCAGTGGCGCTGTCTCAGCTCACTGCAACCTTCGCCTCAACCTCCTGAGTGACTGGGATTACAGGCGCATGCCACCACGCCCAGCTGATTTTTGTTATTTTTAGTAGAGATGGGGTTTTGCCATGTTGGCCAGGCTGGTCTCGATCTCCTGACCTCAGGTGATCCACCCGCCTTGGCCTCCCAAAGTGCTGGGATAACAGGCATGCTCTGCTGCGCCCAACCTCAGGCTGGTTTTATAATAAACCGATATTATAAGACTGCGGTCACTGGTAAAGTATATGTGCAAGAGCAGTCAAGAAATTTTTGAGTGGAGGCTTTTCCTTTCTGCTGGAGAACTTTTCTTGGCTCTCCAGATCCACCATCCACACTTTCTGCCTTAACTCTGTGCCCTGGGGCCTGGCTTGTAGAGATCACAGCACCAGGTCCCCTGTCTTCCTGCTTCTGTGCTCAGCCAACGGGCATGCTGGCTGGCAGGAAACAGGAGGAAGGAAGGAGAACGAGGTCTGGATATTTATTCTTTCCACCCCTTCTACCAAAGGCACCACTGTTCTCAAGGCTGCCCTCTCCACATTATTCTTTCCTCTAGGTTCTGGCAAAAGTGCCCTCTTCTTACCTATGTAATTATTAGTTAATAACCCAGTGATATTAGTTAATAATCCAGGGTAGCGATCAAGCCCTTGTGGTTTCCCTGAACTTTAAAACATCTTACTAAATAAACGGTATTTTGATTAAGCTTTCTTCAAATTACCCAAATGAAGCATGTCATCTCTTTGCTAATATACCCTACAAAGCATGAAAACACATCTTTAGAGTAATCAAAATAGTATGATGCCAAGTTAGCCACAAATAGGTCAAGGGATGAGAATAGTCTCTAGAAGACAACCTTGAATTAGAATATACAGTATATGATAAAGGGGCATTTAAAACCATTGGAGAAGGCATGAATTGTTAGTAAATGTTATTTGGACAACCAGCCATCAAATTGAAAAAATAAATGAAGGTAAAGTCCCCATCTCATACCAAGAATACAAATTCGAATCTTAAGTCACATAAAATCCAGGGGAAGAAAGCTATTGATTAATTAAGCCTGTTTTTAACTGAATGATTACATCATGTTAGGCACTAATCTGGGAGCCAGAACCTGGTAATGAACAAGACAAGCCTTTTGACATTTCCATTCTAGTAGGCAAAGACAGCTGACAACCATGCAAGAAAAGCATCAGACGCTGTGAGTGCCAGGTGAATAAATGGTGATGTGATAGGACAGTGGCTAATTTTAGACTGGGGAGTCAAAGAAGACCTCTCAGGAGAGTAACACTCTAAGATCAGAATGATAAGAAAAAGTTCGAGATCAGCCTGGCCAACATAGTGAAATCCCATCTCTACCAAAAATACAAAAAAATGCTGGGCATGGTGGCAGGTGCCTGTAGTCCCAGCTACTCGGGAGGCTGAGGGAGGAGAATCACTTGAACACGGGAGGCGTAGGTTGCAGTGAGCAGAGATCGTGCCACTGCATGCCAGCCTGGCTGGCCATTTGAAGACGGGGAAGCGTGAGAGTCAGGGATGAAACAGTTCCCCAGCAAGAATGAACTCAGTGCGCTCAAGGAATAGGAAGTAGGTTGGTTAGCAAGCATGTGCCATGGAAAAAGAAGTAGGCTAAAGATGACCGAGAAGGGCTCTGTGACCAGAGTAGAGAGGTTTGGTTTTACTCCAAGTATAATGGGAAGCCAATGGAGGGTTTCCAGCAAGAAACAGCACAATCTGGTTTACATTTCATTTTATTTATTTTAATTTTTTGAGAAGTAGTCTTGATCTATCGCCAGGCTGGAGTACCGTGGCGCGATCTTAGCTCCCTGCAACCTCCACCTCCCAGGTTCAAGCTCCTGGGCAGCTCGCGGCCTCAGCCTCCTGAGTAGCTGGGATTATAGGCACCTGCCACCATGCCTGGCTAATTACCTTTTAAAAAGCCACAACACAACTTTGGGAGGCCAAGGCAGGTAGATCACCTGAGGTCAGAAGTTTGAGACCAGCCTGGTCAACATGGTGAAACCCTGTCTCTACTAAAAATACAAAAATTAGCTGGGCATGGTGGCAGATGCCTATAGTCTCAGCTACTCAGGAGGCTGAGACAGGAGAACGGCTTGAACCCGGGAGGCAGAGGTTGCAGTGAGCCGAGATCGCGCCACTGCACTCCAGCCTGGGCGACAGAGCAAGACTCCGTCTCAAAAAAAAAAATAAATAAAATAATTGATGAAAAAAATAAAAAGCTATAATACAGACACCCAACTTCATTAGTCATTAGGGAAATGCAAATACAAATCAAAATCAAAACCGTAATGAGATACCACTTCACACCTACCAGAGGGCCATTAAAAAAACACACAATGGAAAATAACAAGTATTCATTGTGGAGAATCTGGAATCCTAGTAGTACCGCATACTGCTAGTAGAATATACAATGGTGCAGCCATTGTGCAAAAGAGTTTGACAATTCCGCAAAAAGTTAAAGTTACTATATGTCCCAGCAATTCTACTCTTAGACTGATACTCAAAAGAAGTGAACACAGGTATTCAAAGAAAAGCCTGTATGTGAATGTTCGTAGCAGCATCAGTCACAATAGCCAAAGGTGGAAACAATGGAAACAACCTAAATGTCTACCAATGAACTGATGTACAAAATGTGGTATATACAATGAAATATTAGGCCATTAAAGTAATAAAATTCTGATACACACTACAACATGGATGAACCTCGAAAACATTAAGTGAAAGATGCCTAGACACAAAAAGTCATATATTATATGATTCCACATATATGAAATATGAAATGTCCAGAACAGGTAAATCTACAGACACAGAACCAGATCGGTGGTTATCTGGAACTGATGAAAGGCAGAAAGGGGAGGGGCTGCTTAATGAGCATGGGGTTTCCTTTTGGGGTAATGAAAAGGTATTGGAATTAAATAGAGGAAATACAGTTGAACCTTGAACAACACGGGTTTGAACTGCATGGCTCCACTGAGAGGTGGATTGTTTTCTGCCTCTGCCACCCAAGACAAGACCAATTTCTCTTCTTCTTCCTTCTCAGCCCACTCAGCAAAAAGATAAAGACCAAGACCTTTATGACCCGTGTCCACTTAATGAATAGTAAATATATGTTCTCTTCCTTATAATTTTCTTAAATTTTTTTTTATTTTAATTTTTAAATTGAGACAGGGTCTCACTCTGCTGCCCAGCAATGGTGCAATCACGGTTTACTGCAGCCTCAACCTCCTGGGCTCAAGCGATCCTCCCACCTCAGCCTCCCCAGTAGCTGGGACTGCAGGCATGCACCACCATACCTAGCTAATTTATTTTTTTGGAGCGACAGAGTCTCACTATGTTGCCCAGGCTGGTCTCAAACTCCTGGATGCAAGCAATCCTCCTGCCTCAGCTTCCCAAAGTGCTAGGATTACAGGTATAAGCCACTGTGCCCAGCCTTCCTTACAATTTTCTTTCTTTTTTAAAAAAAAATTTATTTATTTTTAATTTTTAAATTTTTTTTATTATACTTTAAGTTCTAGGGTACATGTGCACAACGTGCAGGTTTGTTACATATGTATACATGTGCCATGTTTTTTTTTTATTTTTGAGACAGAGTGGCACTTTGCCGCCCAGGCTGGAGTGCAGTGGCACGATCTCAGCTCACTGCAAGCTCCGCCTCCTGGGTTCACGCCATTCTAAGGCCTCAGCTTCCCGAGTAGTTGGGACTACAGGTGCCCACCACCATGTCCGGCTAATTTTTTGTATTTTTTAGTAGAGATGGGGTTTTACCGTATTAGCCAGGATGGTCTCAATCTCCTGACCTCGTGATCCTCCCGCCTCAGCCTCCCAAAGTGCTGGGATTACAGGCATAAACCACCGTGCCCAGCCTACAATTTTCTTAATAACATTTTCTTTCCTCTAGCTTACTTTAAGAATACTCACGTATGTATATAACATACATAATATGTGTTAATTGACTGTTTATGTTATTGATAGGGTTTCTGATCAACAGGACATTAGTAGTTAAGTTTTGGGGAAATCAAAAGTTATACATGAATTTTCAACTACATTGTGGGGTCAGTGCTCATAACTGCTATGTGTTGTTCAAGGGTTAACTGTAGTTACAATGAATGTATATTTATTTTCTTTTTATTTTTTGAGATGGAGCCTCCTGCTGTTGCCCAGGCTGGACTGCAGTGGCGCGATCTCTGCTCACTGCAACCTCCGGGTTCAAGACATCCTTGTGTCTCAGCCTCCCGAGTAGCTGGGATTATAGGCGCCCACCACCATGCCCGGTTAATTTTGTATTTTCAGTAGAGACAAAGTTTCACAGTTGGCCAGGCTGGTCTCGAGTTCCTGACCTCAAGTGATCCACCCGCCTTGGCCTCTCAAAGTGCTGGGATTACACGTGTGAGCCACCACGCCCAGCCCTGAATGTACATAAATGCCACTTACTTGTACCCTTTAAAATGGTTAATTTTATGTGATATGGATTTTGCCCCAATTTAAAAAATGCTATATAGAATTTTTGTTTTGTTTTTTTTTTTTTGCACAGCACTATACTCAATATCCTGAAAACCTTTCTCATAACAAAATACCTAAAAATGCTAGATATTAAAAATATTTTAACATTTGTGCCTACACTTTCAGGAGAGCATGAGAAATCCTCAAAGGCTCAAAACCAAGTAAGATCTAAAGACTCAAGCAGCAAGAAAGGAACGATGGTTCACAAGGCACCTATCTGCCAATCTCCAGTAGAGTTCTCAGCAGATGCAAAGGACAAAGCCCAGGGTGCGAACAACGCGGGGAGCTGGAGCAAAAACCCCTCCTCCACTCAGACGGAAGCCCCACATGACTACTCCCTGTGAAAGTCAGCGAATCAGAAAAACCTCAGCCCCACAAAGCGAGATGTCAAGCCAAATTGGGTGTCAGCGTCGGTTCTTGGTGGAGAGAGTGAAAATACTTATTTTTCCTGAGAAATCTGACAGCCTTACTACATCCTCATCTCTAGGAATGAGGCTGCCTGCCTTCAAAGTTTAAAAAATCCTAATGAGTGCTGATTATTTTTCTTCTAACTGCAGAGGTTCCTAGATTGTTTTGGAAACCAGCAGTTCTTTGGAGGAGAGTCCTTTTTTCTGGCCTCGACAGTCACCCTGGAAGTTCCCTGCTCCTGAGTTAGTGGCTCAGACAGCAGAGGACAGAGGACAGTTGTTTTCCTCGCCATGTGAGTGCCCAAGGCCTATTCAATCTTGCTCTCATTTTGAGGTTAGTATGGGCTGCTTCGGGGAAAAGTCCTTTGGAAGGGTCTCTTTCACTTCTATGGGGCTGTGAGCTCTGAGCTGGTCTGATCCCACCTGCTTTATCAGGCACTGAATAGTCTCACTGTTCTGGAGGCCTGATAGCCTTTTCTGTCATCCTTGGGGTTTATTTTTATTTTCATATTTCTTCCATCATTTCAATGGGATTTCGGGAAGAAAGAGGATGTAAATATATTTTGGCAAGCTAAAAAAAAATTGTGATTATTGGTTGGTTTGGGGAGAAAAATGCCTGTTTTACAGTTCACGTAGCTGATTTCAAATACTTTTCTTCTTTCTTTACAATTGTACTCCTTCCATCAGAGGATGCCCGTGGGCCCTCACTGACCCCCAGCCTGGGTGTCGCCTCTGCTGATGACTCCCTAGGCTTATGCTGAAGCCTCCAAAAGGCCCTGCAGTTATAAGGGGGCAGCCAACCAGGGCGCCAGTATTATCTGGGGGTTCTAACTGTACTGACCTGACTCCTTCAGATGGGTGTGAGAAACCTGTGAAAAAGTACACCCTAGAGAATTCTTTGTTTATGACATAAGGTTAGAGGGGGGGAAAAAAAGAATAGAAAAACAAAAACACCAAAAAAAAGAATTCTGTTTCTCCACAGTCTATCGATGCTGATTTCATTCTGAAATTCTTAAATCAGATAAACTTCTTGTCCTTTTTCTCCATAGACGATTTAATTGAATTATTTCAGATCAACCATAGTGGAGTTATTTAGATGTAAAAAAAAAATTAATTATTTGTCAAAAGAAATTAAGAATAGCACTCCCCACACCAGATCTTTATATGTCACTAACAAAAAGCACACAAAGAAAAATAACATTCCACATTCAACAGTCTCTATAAACAAATTGATCCCCTGCCAGAACCTATTCAATCTGAATTGGCCATGAGTAGTATTCTCATGTTGATTTATAACCTGAGACTCTTTACTATTCAAGGCAAAACACAGCCCTGAGCTCTGGCATTAAAACAGCAACCAACAAATTGGTATTATCCTTGCAAAATTCAACCAAACATCTGCAGCCAAACACTCTGAGACAAAAAAGGCACTTCAGATTGGAATAAAATATAAAACTGGATTCACGTATTTAAATGAAATGTTTCAGTGTATGTTTACTGAAAGATTGTATGCCACAGATGGATGAGAATATGAGACAAAAAGTCACAAATCATTTCATTTTTGAGCTCTGAAAGGTCCAGGAAGACCAGGTGGAACTAGAAATATTGCTGTGGCCATTTAAAAAAATATTATCCACCACATAACCATTTACTTTGATATTTAATTTTTCAATTTTAGTTTAACACATGTGTTAACATCATGAGTTAAAAAGTTTATATCTGGAAAAGCCTCCATTATGGACTACTACATTTGAAATCTATTTAATGATGAATTTTCCTTTTTACATCCCATATAAAGAGGATGTATTTAATATTACTCTGGCTGTCATCTAAGCTCTTCATTTGATACATAAACTAAGTCCATTGGTAGTAAATGACTTGCCTAAGGTCAAGAACCCCAAAGATCCTTAGCAAAATGTTTTAATTCTCCTAAGATATTCCAAAAATAATATACTTAAAGCCACTGATCCACAATATTGATTTATTTCTCAACGTGTACTACTCTGATGTTCTGCAGAATATCAGCAGGTATTTGGCAAATTGGGATTCTTTAGTTAAATAAGTTAACAAATGTTGGGTTAAACAAAGACTCTTAGCTATATCAGTGAACTTTATGCACCTCCAAAAGGAGAAATACAGTAGACAATTGGTTTTGCAAACGTATTTGACCAAAGATACCACTTTCTACCCACAGAACACAGCATACAACCAATGAGAAATACTCTCTTGTTTTCTAGAGTCTTATCTTGCTTCCTGAGAATTTATCATCATAACACCACCAGAAGGATTTTTCTAAAATCTGACCTGGTTATGTAGCCCCTCAGCTTATACCCTTTCAACAGCTCCCTTCTGCCAGCCTGGTCAAGCCCACGCTTTGGCATGGCATAATCCTCCATTACCTGTACAGGTCAGCTCTTACCTCACCTGGAACTTTATACTCCCACGTTGTGGTTTACATCCTCTTCTCATCCCTACACACCTGAGCGATACCACAAATTCACATCCATTAACGTTGGGGTAGGGCATGGCAATGAGTTCCTCAAGAGGAATATCTGAGTCCCCAGTAGTCTCTGGGTATAGGCTTGCATGGATATAGGAGAAATGACCTCTGGTTTTTTAATTTGTTTTTATTATTTTTTAAACAACCCTTTAAAAAACCCTTCTGAGCCTGGAGACAGCACAAAAGAGAGCAAGGCCCAGTTTTGGCCCATAGGCCACAGTTTGCTAACTCTTGAATTAGAGGATATTCAAGGATATTCAAGGTTGCCCACAATGAGTACTGCCTAGAACATGGAAGGAATATGAAGGGTGCTCCATGCCTAAAAGCCAGAAGCCAAGAAGCACAAGGGGCTCTAACAGATGGGTTGAGGTATAGCAGTGAAATAACCAGGCAAGACAACCCCTGCTCATGCCCCTTCCCTCATTTGAGACCAGATAGCTGAGAAAGGAGTAATGTTTCCAGGTGGAAACAATGAATTAGGACAGAGGGATAGGGTATTATTTCTAGGTGCTAGTAGCATTCAGGAAAAAAAAAAAAAAATAGAGAATACATAATCCAGAAGACCAGCCATAAATGGGTCCCAAACAGCATCATCCCATATTGCTATACCATATTCTGAAAACATTATCAAGCTCAGCTGTAGCAATTACATTCTCCCTTCAGCATGGGTGAGCTGGGTCAGTAGAGAATGCAGACCAGCTGGCAGAGAGTCTCACACAAAAATGAGCTCACTAACAGCAATCCAGCTGAACACTGGAGAAATGCAAATTAAAAAGACCAACAAAAAAATTTGCAGAATCCACAGAAGAAACAAGAAAGCAGTATTAAATATAATTATTATTCTTGGAAAGATAAAGAAAAGTAGAACCATGAAACGAAAGAACTATTACAAAAATCCAACATATTTTAAAAATATTTTAACATTATACACATATTTGTACATAGTAAATATTTTTAAAGTATATATTTTTAAATAAAAATAAACTGTTGAAACATTTATTAGAAGGACTGAATAAGCAACCCAATGTACAAGTTTTAGAGAAATACATTAAACAGAGAAATTATCCAAGAACTTAGAATGAAGAGATGAAAAGTATAAAAGAAATGTTAAGAGACAAATGAATCCAACTGGAAGTTTCATCATCTTAAAAAAGTTCCATAAGAAGAGAATAGAAAGAATGGTAGAAAGGCAATATTTAAAGTAGGAGCTGAGAATTTCCTAGAATTAAAAATACACATGAGTCAATAAGGCAAAAAAGGCTATCATCTACTAAGTAGGATAAGTAAGGAAAACAAACATCTGCACACACATGTACATATATCTCTTGATAGGGAACAGTAAAATTTCTGAAATATTAAAGTAGAGAAATAACAAATGCAACTAGAAAAAAATATAAATCAAAGGATTAAGAAGCAGAATAATATAATACTTCTATCAGCATTAGTGGGTGTAAAAGAACAATGAAGCAGTATCTTCAAAGGCCTGAAGAACAAGAATTTTGTGCCTAGAATTTTATATCTAGCTAAACTAATCTGCATTTAACATGACAATCAAAGGACATTTTTGGATATGCAAGCACTCAAAGTTTGCACCAAAGTTTACCAACATGGGTGTACTTCAGCAAGGAAAAAACAAACTATTCACGATAGCAGTGATATATAAGAAACATTGTTGGGAAAATTTTTACAATTTTTTTTGTTTCCCAAATAAGAAATGAGCATGGGAAAAGTTATTTACTAACAATCTAAGAAGTTAAAGGAAAAATAACACATGAGAAGTGGGGAGTGGGAATCTGAGGAAAGTAAAAATATCTTAAGCTTCTTAGTTTAGCAACAAAGGGACTTAGAAACTAGAAACTGATTTTTTTTCTAACTGCTTCTAAAATTAATAAGTTTTAAAATTTTAAATAATTAGAACAGCAAACCAGTAGAGGGAAAAATAAAGTATATGTATACACAGACATAGCAGAAGGCATAGGAGGGCTGTAGAACTACTCATGCAGGTCCAAATGCCCTGTCTACTTGTTCCTCTACAGCTCAAGCACTGCCTCCATCTAGACCATTCCTAAAAACCTCACCTCTCTCCTTCTGCCCACCCATGATCCCACCATACACTGAACAAATTTATATTACAGTATCTATAATACTTCTTTATGTTTGTTGTTTACAAACCAATCTTGCTCATTAGGCATAAATTCTTAAGGACTAGAACAGCCTCCTCCTCATTTCTACATCCCTTCCTATATCACAGTTACTCAATGTTTGTTGAATGGATGAAAATAGAGGCGATTTTTACATACTTAAAACAACTAGAGAATTGATTATACATGACCAAGGTTATAACTTACAATAAATTATTTGTTGCAAGAGGCTAAAATCCACGTCTAAGTCACTACCGCATTTCTGACAAAGTCATTCTTGGATATTTTTGTTAAGTTTAGAAATCAATTGAAATGAGGATGTAGGAGGACATACTAGACAATATTAAGGTGTCTTCCATCTCCAAAGCTCAGAATTTAGAGAATAACTTTAAGAGACACTTTGACTGATTGTCCCTGAAATCGTACAACACCTGCAGAAGCTCTATGTCTTCATGGTTTTCAGACCCAGGCGTATTCTCCATCAATATGGCGGACATCACTCGCACATTCATTTTCACCATATCCAATTCACTGTGCAATTTTCCAATCTGTAGAGAGCAACACAATCACCAGTCAGTGTGACACACAGAGAATGTGTTCACATTCCTTGTTTCCTGCCCCCATGGGACATTTGCTGGAAGAAAAAATACTTCTGCAAAATTTAATATTTTCAAACTTAAATTTAATTTCATATAAATATACACATAGTTATTTTACAATGTATACCTTGTCACCTTCTAAAAGGACTTGAGATCTCTTGTAATAAACCCCAAAATATGCTTTAGGAATTTTAAAAATGAAAGAAAAAAAAAAAGGTTAGAACCAAATATGAAGAGGGGAGAAGTACTAGGTACCTAGCAGAAGAAGGTACCAGAAACCTGGATAAAATGGCAAAAGTTATCCTGAGTTTCTTGGCAACCGACAGGATAAAAGAAAAACAAATGAGGGTTATCTAGTTCTCATGGTATTAAAGAAGAAAGAAGAAATAAATCTTTTTCCTGTATTAAATTCTAAGAGGAATTAGTCACATGAATTTTTATATAAGAAAAAAATAATAATACAAAGTCTTCAATTATAGTTCCTTTACAGCAGAACGGAAATGGGCTTCATACAATAATTGCTTATCTGTACCTTGGACAAACTGATATACACAAAGAAGTAAATACAATTCAGTTGGCATAATAAATACAAGTAATAAGACTACCATTTACAAAACTCTCTGAAATATGTGACAGTCCTACCAGAAGTAACAGGAATTAGCTCATGGACACTAGATCCAGTCCACAGTCAAGGCTCCACAAAGCCATGAAAGCCACTAGGCAAGCACAACTCTTACAAAGTTGGGCTTTGGAAGTAGACAGAACCAATGGGATTAATCCTTCTTGGAACTGAACTATAAGTCACATAGTATGACTAAGCCTCAGTCTCTTCCTCTGTAAAATAAATGTACCTACATCTCAATGTTGTTAACCAGAAAGGACAAACTGTATATAAGGTGCTTACAAATCAGGAAAACATATCAATAAATACAGTGATTGCTGTTGTTACCTGTTCTGGGACCAATGTAATAGTCGAGTTCTTTGGAGCAATTACAGAAGAAAGAGCTGGTGCAGTAGGGACAGATGTTGGAGGATTTGATGAGATTTGAGCAGTCTATGAGTATAAAATATGGTAATATTATTATGTGAATTAACATAGCCACCCAACGCCAAGTTTTTTCCATTCAGCTAACTCAAGCACTCTCAAACAAAGTCCTGTGTACAGGGTATCTGCCCGGAGTAAATCATCAACTACACAACCCGTCCAGCATTTTGTGAAGAATGCTAAGCAAATGAGATGCCCATAATAAAGCAGGTATTCAACAAGAGGTGGCTATTAGAATTATCATTTACAATTTAATAAAATGCCTTTTTTTTTTTTTTTTTTTTTTTTTTACCAAGGGTTTAAGTGATAAACTGCCATGTGAGATTATTGATGCCTTCTCTTTGGACTGTTAATAACAAATGATAGCTCAATTCATGTCAAGTCTGTTTAAGCCACAGCTGACAAGGCATCTCCTTCTCCATCAATGACCCTCCTTGGGTCAATGCCACATCTCCAACCTTGGGCGGCGAGGTGAAAGCTCAAGGCTCTAGGCCAGTGCTTCTCAACATAAATGTACAGAGAAAACACCTGGAAATCTTGTAAAAAGGGAGGTTCTGATTAGTCTAGGGTGGAGCAAGCCAAACAAACTTTCACACTTTAAGTAGCAAAATCCCAAGTCTCGGTTATTCTATGAGATATTGCAATATCCTTCTAATAAATTCATCTTTTTGCTTAAGCTTAAGTGGATTTAGGGTTGTCTCTTGCAATGAGAAAAGACCCAACTGATATACTACTATACTCTCCATGGGTCAAAGAAAGGCCTCTTACCTCTTGTCTTGCTGTTTCAGCCTCTGCTTCTGAGGGAGGAAACTGAACGCCTTTCTTAAGCAGGTCGAGGTATACTTCTTTGACTTCGCTTACATCCACACCTCCTGGGAAACCCTGTGACCAAGCCTGAGTTCAAGAGATGAAAACGTTCCAGAGTTAAAACAGCAACAAAACCAAAACACAATTCTTTTTTTTTTTTTTTTTTTTGAGACAGTCTCACACTATTGCCTGGGCTGGAGTGCAATGGCACAATCTCAGCTCACTGCAATCTCCACCTCCCGGGTTCAAGCGATTCTCCTGCCTCAGCCTCCCGAGTATCTGGGAATTACAGGTGCCCACCACCACGTCTGCCTTATTTTTTGTATTTTTTAGTAGAGATGGGGTTTCACTGTGTTGGCTAGGCTGGTCTCGAACTCCTGACCTTGTGATCTGCCCACCTCGGCCTCCCAATGTACTGGGATTACAGGCGTGAGCCACCACGCCCGGCTGAAAACACAATTCTTAAGCTCCTGATAGAAAATGAGAGATCAATAATTATGTACCCCACTCAGAAAGAGAAAGCTACTTTTGAATGCCATGGGCAAAATGCTCATTTTCAAAGGCTAGGAAAATATAAAATATTTTATTTTTATTTTTTATTTTTTTTTGAGATGGAGTCTTGCTCTGTTGCCCAGGCTGCAATGCAGTGGCGAGATCTCGGCTCACTGCAAGCTCCACCTCCTGGGTCCACGCCATTCTCCTGCCTCAGCCTCCCAAGTAGCTGGGACTACAGGCGCCCGCCACCACGCCTGGCTAATTTTTTTTTTTTGTATTTTTAGTAGAGACGGGGTTTCACCGTGTTAGCCAGGATGGTCTCAATCTCCTGACCTCATGATCCACCTGCCTCGGCCTCCCAAAGTGCTGGGATTACAGGCATGAGCCACCGCGCCCGGCCCAAAATATTTTAAATCAGACTTCCATGCCTCAAAATCTTGAAGAAACCCTAAGATATATACTATCAATTGTTTTTTGCTGCTCTGAATCCAAAATTAACAGATTCCAAAACAACATCAGTAGCTCTTTTTCCAAGTAACCTTGAATTAGTCAGTTAGTTGGAACAGTTTCCCAACCTGCAAAATGAACATACACATCATTGTCTTTCCTATTTGACACAGATAAAATAGAAACTGAGAGGAAAGTAGGGAAATGACTACAAATCTTCAGAAAAAGTGTACCATCCAATGCCAAAAAATTATTATTACACAGAAACTAAAAATAGCAAAAATGCTTTTCTGGCTCAATCCAAGACATATAAAAGATAAGCAAAACAATCAGGAGGTAAGCTGTGAAATCCCTAATCTTAGAAATTTACCATCCCATGAGGTATACAACAGACTTACCTTAATGAAATTCAAGATTCTATTCTGAATGTCTAATGGCAAGTTGTATCTAGGATTCAGTAGCTTAACTAAATTCTCTTTAACAAATTCCTTCTTCACAATCAGAGTCTGGAAACTTGGACCACAGTTCTGCACGCACATGTCAATAAGCTAAATTAGAAAAATAAATTAAACATTATATTTATCTGGCAAAACCACCTCCTAAAAATGTAAGGGAAAAACTGCTAAATAATAATTTCCACCAGCATACTAATTAACAAACATAATTTAGTATCTACTAAAATATATGGCAAAATGTTAGGTTCTGGGGATATGTGGAAATATGAGCATAATGTAACAGTCTAGAGGACAGACTTATCGAGGAGTCCCAGCACATCCAAAAGGGAATTAACCAGCAATGCAGAGTACTAAATGCTAAATGCTGAAGGGACGTGCAGGCCAAACATATGAGCTACAGATGGAATAATATCTGTCCCAGTTTACCCAGGGTAGCACAGGTATATTCCCAATGTCCTGTTTATTAATGATGACACACCCTTTCACTTTCAAAAATGTCCTGGTTTGGATGATGAATTACACAGTCACCCTAGCTATAGGTCCTTATAGGCAAGATTATTTAGGGCTAGGTGGTCTTACAAGACTTTTGGAAAAGGCTAATTGGAAGCTGGGCTTTGCAAAATGGCTAAGAACAGTAAAAATGAGTATAGAGCTATATTCCAGACAGAGAAATTGTATGAAAACTATATAAATGTGGAAAAGTGGGTAAGTTATGAAGGGGGAGATAAGTACTCTGGTCTGTCTCTAGCAGAGGCATCTTGAAAAAGGTAAATTGGGGAGACTGTAAAGATAGGGTAGATAAAGTCTGTCCAGGTTGTAGAGAAGTTTGTGTGGCAGTGCAAAGGGTGTGGATATTATCTTGAAGGCACTAAGAAGTTACGGAGGGTCTCTGTTAGTTTGTCACCATCACACCTTTACCCTGAAATTGAGGAAAAGGTTAATGTGCGCAAAGTACTATTCTGGATAGGTTGTCAGGCAGCACTCTGCAAAGGCAAGTGGAGGGAGAAGAAACCTGGAATGACAGAAAGATCCACTAGCAACCCACTAGTTCAGGCATGAGATACAAAAGGCCTAAACTAAGATGATGTGGGTACAAGAAAAGGAGTCACGACAGAATTATGAAGGAAGAACTTTGAATGACAGTGCTGGTCAAAAAAGGAAGATGACTGAAAGTTAAGTGACTCTCATTCTGCATGAGGACCCCTGTGATGGAAATTTGGAAGAGGGGGTGGTATGGCTGGTCTAGGGGTAGAAATGACGGGCTGAAATTTAGATATTTTGAGTTCAAAAGATAAGGGACATTTAAGTAGGTGTTTAGCAGTGAGCTGGACACACACAGCTATAGTTCAAGAGAGTGAAGGACCAAAATTGAGTTATCAAGGCTGCCTACAATGAGAAGAGAGGAAGAAGGGCTGAAACACTGGGGTTCACCTATTACACAGGCCAGCGAAAATCCAAGGAAGGCAATCAAAGAGTAACTGACAGAAAATGAAGCACAAAATCAGGAGTACATAAGGCACCCCTTTGGTAAAGTCAAAAGAAAAGTTTCCTGGAGGATGGGGTGTTATACAGTTAAGAATATGCACTAAGGAACACCAGTTCCCTTGAAAAACACATTTGCGATAAAGCAACGTGAGCAGAAGCTTGACTAAGAAAGAATGAGCCAATACTGAAGAACTGCATGCAGAAAGTAGATTTCTAAAAGTAATCTAAAAACAAAATTAAATCTTTAGTTTCCATGCTACAACCTCAAATTAGAAAGGTCATAGAAACCATTAACATGACCAGGATAATCATCTCTGCAGAATAGAAGCCCTAAAAATGGACTTCATGCCATGCTTTGTCTTTGTATTTTTAGTCTGTCTTTAATGGAAATACATAAAGTGGCAGCAGGTATGAACGCTATAGTTTTAAAGCACTGTGATCAAGAAGGTAATCAGAAAATACAGAAGGTGAGCACGTGTAGCTGTGTGAAACACAGCGAAAACCTTTAAGGCAAAGGAAAATAAAAACAAAATCCAAAACATACTAAGATGAATCTATACTAGTGCAGGTTGTTAAGACAAAGTTGGAAAGTTGAATAACATGCCATTTAGCTTGATGGATTATTATAATGAGTATAATGAGTTTTTAATGGGTGAAATGCTGAAAGGAAACGTGCCTCTAGCTCAATGTGAGTTTACAGAAATATTTCACCTAACTAGTTGTACAGTCTTAGGCAAATACCTAGGCTCCAAGTCTCATTCTCTCTAGGCATATATATATATATATATATATTTTTTTTTTTTTTTCTTTTTGACACAGGGTCTCACTCTCTCATCTAGGCTGGAGTGCAGTGGTGCAATCTCGACTCACTGCAACCTCTGCCTCTCGGGTTCAGGTGATTCTCATGCCTCAGCCTTCTAAGTAGCTGAGATTATAGGCGTGCACCACCATGCCCAGCTAATGTTTGTATTTTTAGCAGAGATGGGGTTTTGCCACGTTGGCCAGGCTGGTCTCGAACTCCTAGCCTCAGGTGATCCACCCACCTCAGCCTCCCGAAGTGCTGGGATTATAGGCATGAACCACCACACCTGGCCCTCACAAACAAATTTTTATCTTTGGTGCAACAAGATTTTATGATAATGAGTAACACTCCCAGGAGGAACATGCACAAAATCAAAGAGTCAACATGAAATGCTAAAAATGTGAACATCTGGAGATTAGCAGTCATGCCTTTTGTGTTTTCCCATTAGAATCAAGAATGCCAGGACTAATTACTTCTACATCACCTCCTCTATTATATCACCAGAACCTCTTTTACCCTCCAACTCACTCAGATAAGTAATAAAACCTACTGTGGGAAATTAAATTAAAATTAAATATGTTGTTTTCACATATTCTGAAATTGAACTTGGTGCAAATGTGTTCAGATAACCTATATTTGGAAATAAGACAAATAAGAATCCATAATCTGAGGTGGGATTGAAAACTCTGGAGCCAAGGAACAAAGAGAGACTGAAGTGGGTGACTCCAGG